GCTTCAGGACCTGGATGACTTGCCATAATTGATAGAATCATGAATTCTGTGCTCTACCAGAAAATCCTGAAGGAGAATGTCATTATGCCTCAAGCTCAAACACACCTGGGTTATGCAGCAGGACAATGATCCAAAACCCACCAGCAAGTCCATCTCTGAATGGCTCAAAAAAAAAAAAATTAATTAAGGTTTTGGAGTGGCCTAGTCAAAGTTCAGAATTAAATCCAATTAATATGCTGTGACATGACCTTAAACAGGCCATTCATGTTCAAAACCCTCCCATGTGACTGCATTAAAACAATTCTGAAAAGAAGAGTGGTCCAAAATTCCTCCACAGTGATGTGAAAGACTCAGTTATCACAAATGCTTCATTGCAGTTGTTGCCGCCAAGGGTGCCAAATACTTTTTCAAAGCACTATATTTTACCATCATTAATACACTTTTTGCCAAACTTTCCTAGTCTAATTGTTCTATGCTACATTCAAAGGTACTCTACAGCATCGATCTACAGGTATATGTTCTAGAAGACCCATAAGAACAGAGGGACCTACAGTAACAGTGAACACATTGCACATTTCCTCTTTAACCACTTGCCTGCTGGGCATTTTTACCCCATTCATGCCCAGGCCAATTTTCATCTTTCAGTGCTGTCGCATTTTGAATGACAATTGCACAGTCTTGCAACCCTGTACCTATATTACATTTTAATCATTTTTTCACAAAAATAAAGCTTTCTTTTGGTGGCATTTAATCACCATTGGGTTTTTTTTTTTTTGTACTATAAATGAAAAAGACAGAAAATTAAAAAAAAAGTTTTTCTTTGTTTCTATTATAAAATTTTGCAAACAGGTGAATGTTCTCCACTGATGTGCATTGATGAGGCTGCACTGATAGTCACTGATAGGCAGCATTGATGGGCACCAATGAAGTGGCACTGACTGACTGCACTGATTGTTGGCACTGACAGGCACAGATTGGCAGCACTGGTAAGTACAGTTTGGCAGCACTTCTGGGCACTGATGGGCAGCACTGTTGGGCACTTTTGGGGCTTCAATGATAAGTGCCCTGATTATCAGTGTAGATGTCTTCTTTCACAGTTGCCGATTAACAGCAGTACTTTTCTCAGGCTGTGACAGCATGAGGAAAGTACTGCCAATAACCGGCAAGTGCATTTGCATGGTGATCAGCTGTGATTGGACACAGGAGATCACGTGGTAAAGGGCACTGTGATTGACCCTTTACCATGACAAGGATCACGGAGAGCACCGGGTGAGCACCGCTGGGGGCACACTGGGGGGGGGGGGGGTGCAATCTAGGAGGATGTCGTATAACACCCTCCCAGAACTGCACCACCATGCTGTAGCTGTCATTCAGCTATAGAGCAGTCAAGAAGTGGTTAAGCATAAAAGTTTACAACAAAACGTTGTTAAACCCAGCTGGTTTCAATACCAAAATGTTATCACTGGAAGCTTTTTGCTCTTAATCAAATACATTAACATTTTCAAACATCTCAGTCTGCATTAACACATTCTCATTTTCAATTTTGGCACCCTGCTTTAACAGATTCCCTTTACTACTTTCAAACATACCCTCACCCATCAGGGCAGCACCATGGTTTTCCAAGATAACCTCTACCCTTGGCACTTCAAGATCCATGGAGGTTTCTAAGGACACCTCTGCTGTCTTAGACACAGTTGATAGGGGATTTTATGCATTCTTCTTACAGGTCACCCCTACTACATTTAATTTAGCATTTCGTCTGCATGACACAGGTGCATAGCCAGTGGTAAACTTCCCATTGACATTTTTTCTCATCAGTAATCACCAGCACATGTATTTTTTAACTCTTTCATCCCAACTATACAAATAGTTGTACAGAGGCAAGTTTCTCTCAAGGTATAGGGCAAGTTTCCCAACTGGGATCAATCTCGCATCACAGCAGACAGTCTTACTGTCAGTTTTTTTTAGTCACTGTATTAACAATCCCAGAAATTAACTCATAAATGACAGTAGGGAGAGATTTACTAAAACTGGTTGGTTTAGTAAAGCTAATTGGTTTCAATGCAGAGCTGCTCCAGATTTTGCAATCTACAGGTCTGGTAAACAACCCCCCAGGTGTCACCATCTTCACTTGAAAGTGTTGGGATAGGGACAACTCTGTCATCTTCACCTGGACCTGCTATTCCACCCACACTTTTTATTTCTTGCAAACATTGATCTAAAAAGCAATCTGAAGAACTATATTCAGTTCACAGTTTTAATGCATAGGAACCAAAGTGCTAGAAAAGATGAGAATTTAATTTTAAGTTAAAAAAAGCCTAAACATTTTTTATAATGGGTTTCCCTTTTACTGAAAATCATTGTCAAAGTGTTAGGGTTTATGTTACAAAGTACCTTTATATTTTCACTGGGTCTTCCAGCTCAAGACTGACTGATTCCCAGAGATGTACTAATTGTTACTGAAGCATGAGTGGTCATACACCATTATATCTAGAATACAGAAGGTGAATAAATAAGTGTTTGTTATTGTTATTTCATGAATATAGTACATAAGTACAAAAGTTGGAACTGAAAGTGGACCGTCTACTTTCTTTATATTTTTGCCTCAGTCGCCAACAGAGATACTGTACCTCTGTAGGCTGTATAGATACAGAATAATGTAAAAGTTCTTTGCCCAAAATGTCTCCTAAGATTAATACTTTGCTCTCCATGATTAAATTTACACTGGAATTTCATCTACAGCCTATTAGTTATTTGGATGTTTTCGTATTTTTGGAAAGGAATATTCCTACGACAGATTTGGACAGAAATTCCACAGATCTTAATAATTTTTTTGCTTGTAGATAGATATCACCCTGCAGAAATGATTAAAAATCCTCAAAAAGCCAATATAACAGGGTGCAGAGAATCTTTGAAGTGATTCATTGTATAAGAATTAATCTAAAGTTGTGGTGTACGTCAGAAGTAAAGAAACTTGTGGAAATACATTATAAGAGAAACAGTTTATGATCTTATCAACATTAGGGGTCCTCACTGCTTATGCATATACTGTACAAGGATATAATTATAGCCAAAGCTAAAGTAGCTGCTACATAATCATGTTCTTGAGAAAAGAACTCTGGATTCATTTGCTCCCATACCTTTTACTGTACCAAAACACATGAGCTGACAGTGAAAAGATCCTGTTGTTGGCTGACTTGGGAAAAGTACAAGTCCCATAAAGCTGAACTGTGCCATCATGTTGGTATGCCTGCCAAATATTTGTGGCACCTTAGGGTGGTCAGAACATGTGCATACCTCCATTTGCCCTTGAATATCTATGGGTACTCTGAGGGCTTCTGCAAACCTGCAGAATAAGGGATTGTATCTTAATTCCTAGTGTCCCCACCATTCAGTAATCCTGGCTACCTACTTCCTCAGGTTTCAGTGCAGCTGCAGCCATGATCCTGCTATGTTTTTTTAGAGCCAACGATGCTCTATAATGTAAAAGTGATCCAAGTGGGTATACAGCCACTTGATCACTTTTACAGGTGGAGGAAGGTTTTCCCCCCCTCCCGCCGCCACTGGCTACCTTCCTGGGCTCTCCCATTTCACTGGGAAGCCCAAAAACTGAAATGGGCGGTCAGGTCACCACAGCACAGAGATGAAGGAGGAACTTTTGTTCCTTGATCATCTCTATGTTGTTTGAAACCAGAAGCAATATGGATTTTGTCACTTCTAGTTTTGATTTGTTGTTTACAAGCCATTACTGGCTTGTAAAGTACCTGATCAAACTGATATCAGTTTGAACAGATGCTTTTGAGGGGAGAGAGATCTGAGATCTAATAGACCCCAGATCATTCAGTAAAGAGTACTTGTCACTGACCATGCTATTACAAGGCATGTTGTATGCCCTTTGTGATAGCAATAAAGTTGATGAAAGAAATTAAAGAGACACTGCCATAAACATAAGCTTAACCCTTTTACCACCAGGGCCATACATCATACAGACCTGACAGTGGGGAATTTTACACACACTCCTGGTGCCTGCATTGGAAGTGTGCGTATATCTGACAAGTTGACAAGCTGTTAGATGGAAGAGATCTGTCAGCTATGTAGCCTTCCAATTGCTTCCAAACCCGTTGGTAAAGGCCACCCCCCTGTGTGTACTATTGTCCAGGCTGTGCTCACTCATCAAAGCTTAGAGGAATGGCATGGCAGGTGACTGCTGTGTAGATGGGAGGGAGCAGAATTGTCATGTGTCCATTCTCCTCCTCTTCTTCCTGCTGACCCAAATGCCCCCCACACCCCCACATACATGAACGTATGAATGTAAATATTTGCATCGGGGTAACCACACAAATCAGATATGTTGCAATGACAACTTCACAGGATTCACAGAAAATGCCATAACTGCACCTTTGGTAAAGTTGCATAGTTGCTTGTCATAAATTTTAGAACTGGTTCCACACGTGTGGTGGACTTTCATTCCTGTGGAGAGCTGGTACTCCCCCAGCTCTGGCTCAGAAGATTTTGACAAGTGACTGTGTGACTACATTGCTGATATCTTGATAGATCAGGGAAAGGTGATTAAAAGATTGGTAAGGGGTTTGGCAAGAAAAGGTACAATATAAGGTACAGTTAGGAAATTTTCTGAGATTTCAGCTTGTGGGTGGTCAAGACTTTGGTACCCAGAGAGGAGAGAATTCACACAGAAACCAAGTCTTGCAGTAACGTGTATTAACCTAAAAGGTGGTAACAGAGTCTGTGTAAAATTGTCAAACTGGTATGGCAGCACTTACAGAGAGTTTTTGTCAGGGATCGTGGCTACGAGTGGCTCTGCGCATGCGCAGAGCACCTATCTATACTAGCCGACGGACACGCATGCGCACTCGCGATCGCGGATGCTCGCCTGGCACCAATGGCAGGGCAGGGCGCACTATTTAAACCTGCCCTGCACTTACACTCATTGCCGTATGGTCTTTATTCCTGTGTTCCTGTTATTTGAGATTCGTTGCTGACTTTGCCTGAACCTGACCTCTGCTGACTTCTCCTGCTCTGACCCCTGGCTAGTTTGACCTCTCTTCTGGATATTCCTAAACCTGATCCGAACTACTAGTACCGACCCCGGCGAGTGACCTGACTATTCTTCTGCCTGCTGCCTTGTACTACGCTGACCCCACTGTTACCGACCTGGCCCGTTTGACCAAGCTCATCCATCCATCTGGCACGGATCCAGCCATCCCTGATTCCACCCTCTGTCTCTTCACGTCAGGCTTTCCACCTGCATAGACCCCCGGCGGATTCCTCTACCTCAGGCAGGTGTACTCAGGGGCCGCGACCTGGTTCCTGTCTGCTCCAAGTCCATCCCCACCATCAGAGGCTCTGGTGAACAAGCAGACTGGGGCTTAGACTCTGCGCTTTGGGGAATCCTGTCCTGTGGACTGCTAGAGGTACCACCAGGAGGTTGCTAACAGAACCATACGGCCATGACGGAGCCTGGAAGAGGGCCATCCCCACTGGGAGACATATGTCAGCATTTGGCGGCACTTACGCAAACCGTCAAAACGCTGCAGGAGGGCTACACACACCTCGAAAACCAGATCCAGACATTGGCCGCACCAGCAGCCCCATCCCAGAACTCGGGTGCTCCCGCAGCAACCGGAGAACCCTCCTAACCTCCCGGCCGAGCAGTAGTTACGTTGCCTCCGCAGGAACCTCGTGTGCCATTACCGGAACGCTTCAACGGGAATCGAGCTAAGTTCAGGGCCTTCTGGAATGCCTGTCAGCTTTAATTTAGCCTGCAGCCCCGGACTTTTTCTATGGAATCGGTGAAAGTGGGGTTTGTTGTCTCCTTACTCCAGGACGAGCCTCAGGGCTGGGCTCACCGGCTAATGGAGAACCATGATCCTCACCTGGAGATCGTGACCAACTTCTTTGATGCAATGGCAGTACTATATGACGATCCGCAGCAGGCAGCATCCGCAGAATCGGCCCTGTACTCCCTCCGGCAGGGCCGCCGGGCAGTGGAAGAGTACACATCTGAGTTCAGACGCTGGATGGGGGACACCAAATGGAATGATGCCGCATTACGCCACCAGTTCCACTTGGGTCTGTCGGAGTCCCTTAAGGATGAGTTAGCCAGGGTGGGCCTACCTGACTTCTTGGAGGATCTCATCACCCTGGCCATACAGATTGTGTTATGATCCACCAGGTGGTGCCTCTGGCAGCCCACTGGACAGACCTACCCAAAGCGTGGAATCTAAGTCCCGGTCTGTGCTTTCACCAGGGCCCCTGATGGTGGGGATGGACTTGTAACAGACCAGGGCCAGGTCACGACCTCTGAGCAGGCCCACCAGTGGCAGAGGCAACCTCCGGGGATGTATAGGTACCGGGAGAGCCAGATGTGAGGAGGACGGCGGGACCTAGCAGGATGGGTCACGAGCAGCGGTCCCGTGGGGTAAGCGAGGTACAGAATCGGCAGGCAAAGAGTAGTCAGGTCACACGCAGGGTCAGCAGGATAAGTCAGTCCGCAGATAGGTCAAACAAGCCGAGGATCAGGAGAGGAGAAGGCAGAGTAGTCAGGGCAATCTGAGTCAAATACAGGAGAAGGCAGCGTAGTCAGGACAATCCGGGTCAAAGCACAGGAGAAGGCAGCGTAGTCAGGGTCAATCAGGGTCAAAATGCAGGTACAGGAACTCAGGATCACAGAGAGACCTTGCGGCAATTAGTGACAGTGCAGGGCATCTTTAAATATTGCGCCCTGCACTGTCATTGGCCGTCCAGGACGCGCCCCCGGCCTGTCATTGGCCGCCCGAGGCGCGCCCCGCGGCTCCTACTGCGCATGCGCGGCGTCCTGTCAGCTGCGGCCCGCCGGGACCTGGTGCTTGTGTCCCGGCATGAGCCGCCGCCAGTGCGCGTGTGCGCTGGAAGAGGAGCCGCCGCGATCCCTGACAGATTGACCGCAGACTGTGGGAACGCAGATTAGAGAGGTCCAACACGGGGCAGAGATCCACATGGGTACTTCCCGTGCTCCAGTCCAGACCTTGCCAGGGGGAAGACGGAACTTGATACCTGAGGAGAGGCCTGAACCAATGCAGCTCGGGTTGGCACGATCAGCACTATCAGTGGAGGAACGCCAAAGGCGACGAGCGAATAACCTATGTCTCTACTGCGGGGAAGCAGGTCATATGGTATGTTCGTGCCCAGCAAAACTGGGTAAGTGTGATGCCGTCTTTTCCACTGTATCCTCTAAATGTGGTAACCATGCTAATTACCTAGCCATACCCATTTCCTTTCAGCTGCCTGGAAGAACCGTGTCGGCAACAGCAATTATTGACTCTGGGGCATGTAGTTGTTTCGTTGATTTAGAATTTGCCAACCAACAGGGGATCCCCCTCCAAACCAAGGAACGGGGGCTTAATATCTTCTTGGCTGACGGGTCACGCATCATGTCAGGGCTAGTGGATCGGGAGACCCCACCTATCTGTACCACGGTGGCTAACCATCATCGGGAGTTCCTCCATTTGGATGCCATTGCATCCCCCCTGTTCCCAGTAATCCTGGGACTCCCTTGGTTGCGGGCACACAATCCCCAGATTGATTGGGAAACTGGATCTATCCAGTTCCTGTCATCTTACTACCAGAATCATTGTCACGCCCCAACCGCCTTGGCTCCTCAATCTCTCCTATGCATTGATGGGGACGCCGAGCTCATCCAGGTCATTCCCCCGGCCTACCACGACTACTTGGATATATTTAGTAAACGAGGGGCTGACACTCTTCCTCCACACCAAACCTATGACTGCCCCATTGACCTCCTACCAGGATCTGAGATTCCTTTCGGACGAATATTCCCCCTATCAGAGCGGGAATTGGGGGTCCTCAAGGAATACCTAGACGAAAGCTTCCAGAAGGGGTTTATCCGCCCCTCCACATCACCAGCCGTGGCAGGAATCTTTTTCGTGGAGAAAAAGGATAAGTCTCTAAGGCCCTGTATCGATTATCGGGACTTAAATAAAATTACCATAAAGAATTGTTACCCCCTTCCCTTGGTCCCAGAACTACTCCAAAGATTAAAGACAGCAGTCGTGTTTACCAAGCTAGATTTGAGGGGTGCATATAACTTGGTCCGCATAAGGGAGGGAGACGAGTGGAAGACCACCTTTCGCACCTGATTTGGGCACTTCGATTACCTGGTCATGCCCTTTGGACTGTGCAATACCCCGGCCACATTCCAACATTTTATTAATGATGTGTTCCAAGACTATTTGGACGTCTTTGTGGTGATTTATTTGGACGACATTCTGATTTTCTCCCCTTCTCTTGATGACCATAGGGGTCATGTCAAAAGTGTATTGGAACGTTTGCACCAACACAGGTTGTATGCGAAAGCTGACAAGTGCAGCTTTGAGCAGTGCAGCATTACCTTTTTGGGGCTAATTCTCTCCACCACGGGGGTTGCAATGGATCCCCAAAAGGTCTCGGCAATTTTAGAATGACCAGTACCTACGGACAAGAAAGGCGTACAATGCTTTATTGGATTTGCAAATTTTACAGGAAGTTCATCAAGAACTTCTCAGGCCTTGTGTCTCCCATTACCCAGCTCACCAAGCAGGGGACCCGTTTCCGGTGGACACCCGAGGCCCAAGCAGCCTTTGAGACTTTAAAGGAGCTGTTCACCTCTGCCCCGATTCTTAGTCATCCTGACTCCTCTCTGCCTTATATCCTGGAAGTGGACGCTTCGGAAAACGCAGTGGGGGCCATTCTATCCCAGAGAAAAGGTGCCAAGGAACTGATGCACCCAGTGGCATTTTTCTAAAGGAAACTTACGCCAGCGGAGAGAAATCATGACATCGGAGACCGGGAACTCCTGGCTATCAAGACAGCACTGGAGGAGTGGAGGTATCTGCTGGAAGGCGCCACACATCCAATCTTGATTTTCACTGACCATAAGAATCTGGAATACTTGAGGAAAGCCAAACGTCTGAGACCACGCCAAGCAAGATGGGCACTCTTCTTTTCCATATTTTTGTTCCACATCACGTACAGACCCGTGTCCAAGAATATAAAGCCCGACGCTCTATCACGTATGTTTGAGAACCCAGAAGCAATCCCCAAACCAGACACTATCCTGTCCACGGGAAACTTTCTCGCCCTCCAAACAGAACTACGCTCTAGATTACAGACCGCATCCATGGGAATGCCAAGCCCGCCCGGGGTGTCTCTACAGAGCAAGGAGGGTCTCTTCTGGAAAGAAGGGCAAATTGTGATACCTGAAGAGGTCCGAACCCCAGTTCTGGGGCACTGTCACGATCATCCTCTGGCAGGCCATTTTGGAACTGCGAAAACCTTGGAACTACTCCAGCGGACATTCTGGTGGCCAAACATGGCAAGAGATTGCTAACTTTACGTAAAGACATGCGCCACATATCAAAGGAATAAGCCCACCAGAAGTAAGGCCTGTGGCTTACTACGACCATTGCCCATACCGGATCGACCATGGCAGATGATCTTGATGGACTTTATTGTGGAGCTTCCACCTTCCCAAGACCATTCAGCGATTTTCGTAATCGTTGATCGTTTATCAAAGATGGCCCATTTTCTGCCACTAAAGGGTACGCCTTCGGCTATGGAAACGGCACAGCTCTTTGTAAAAGAAGTAGTAAAGCTTCATGGGATTCCAGAAGACATCGTCTCGGACCGGGGGGAACAATTTACCTCAAAGGTCTGGAGAGCATTATGCGAGGTTCTGGGAATCAAGCTGTCCCTTTCTTCGGCCTACCACCCACAGACGAATGGGCAGACAGAAAGGACAAAACCAGACGCTGGAACAGTACTTGAGATGTTACACGTCTTTTCTCCAAGATGACTGGCTGGCACTCTTGCCATTAGCAGAGTTCGCATATAATAACGTGAATCATTCTGCTACGGGGCAATCCCCATTCATCGCCAATTACGGGTTTCACCCCAAGTTTTTACCTGACCTGATCCCGGAAAGCCCGGTCACGGCTACACAGAATATGCTGGATTTTTTCTCCGCCAATAACAAGGTACTTCAAGAAGCCATTACGAAGGCCCAGGAGGACAGTAAGAGGGCTTTCGACAGAAAAAGAAGAGGTGAGCTAAGCTTGCAACCAGGGGACCAGGTCTGGCTAGCTACCACCAATTTGAAGATGTTTTGTCTCTCAAAAAAACTGGAGCTGAAATTTATGGGCCCATTCTGGGTGAAACGGAGAATCAATGAGGTTGCATAGGAGCTGGCACTCCCAGTAACCTTCAAGATTCACCCAGTGTTTCACGTGTTGCTACTGAAGCCGGCAATGCCAGATCCCTTCCCAGACCGAAGGTCCAGGCCTCCGGAGCCTATAACCATCGACGAACAAGAAGAATTCGAGGTTGAGGCAATCATTGATTGCAGGAAAAGAGGAGGCCAGACACAGTTCCTGATCAAGTGGAAGGGCTATGGCCCTGAAGAGAATTCATGGGAACCAGCCCAAAATGTTCACGCCCCTAGACTGGTCCAGGAGTTCTATTGTAGCCACCCACGGAGGAGAGATCGGTTGGGCATCTGGAGGATGCCCGTGGGGAGGGCAATGTCAGGGATCGCGGCTACGAGGGGCTCCGCGCATGCGCAGAGTGCCGATCTATACTAGCCGGCGGACACTAGGACCTGGATGGCGGCGACCACGCATTCGCACTCGTGATCGCGGACGCTCGCCTGGCACCAATGGCAGGGCAGGGCGCACTATTTAAACCTGCCCTGCACTTACACTCATTGCCGTATGGTCTTTATTCCTGTGTTCCTGTTTTTTGAGATTTGTTGCTGACTTTGCCTGAACCTGACCTCTGCTGACTTCTCCTGCTCTGACCCCTGGCTAGTTTGACCTCTCTTCTGGATTTTCCTAAACCTGATCCGAACTACTGGTACCGACCCCGGCGAGTGACCTGACTATTCTTCTGCCTGCTGCCTTGTACTACGCTGACCCCACTGTTACCGACCTGGCCCGTTTGACCACGCTCATCCATCCATCCAGCACGGATCCAGCCATCCCTGCTTCCGCCCTCTGCCTCTTCACGTCAGGCTTTCCACCTGCATAGACCCCCGGCGGATTCCTCCACCTCAGGCAGGTGTACTCAGGCGCCCGCGACCTGGTTCCTGTCTGCTCCAAGTCCATCCCCACCATCAGGGGCCCTGGTGAACAAGCAGACTGGGGCTTAGACTCCGCGCTCTGGGGAATCCTGTCCTGTGAACTGCTAGAGGTACCGCCAGGCGGTTGCTAACAGTTTTTCAGAAAATACCCCAAAACTACTTATGATGCCTGGCAACATTTGACAGGCGAGGTGGCTGGAAGGGAGTCTGGCAAGCATCCTGTTTCTCCTCCACTAAACCTTTCCCTGCTCTAGACACACTGTCCCTGACCAGCTAGTTCCTGTCCCTGACCTTGCCACATCACAAGTTCCTGCCAACTGAATGGGGACTACAGATGGCCATTAAGGTTATCCAGGGCGGCAGCATCCAATCGAGCAGCTGTTCTGTTGACACTTACAGAGGCCTCAGAGGAACATGCGTTTCCCCCTTTCCTCCACTCTCTCTGCATGCTGTGCAGAGATGCTAAACTGCACTTGCCTAAAAGCTGTCAGTTTATCTTTGCTAACCTAAGACATACAGTATCTGGTTCCCACTAACATCCAACACAGTGTGAACAGTATGTCTAATCATGTTTGCTTTTTCTCAAATATATTTTGAGTGTACCAGGGTTCTTACTTCTCTAAAATGTTTGTTATAAACCTTCTAGCTGCTTGTTAAAATCTTCAGAGCTGAGTCCATGCATGTGCATGTTTCATGGTGCAAGAGAGGTTAGCTCGAAAAAAACTAATTGTTAGGCCACCTAATGTGTGAGGAATCTCCCACAAAAAAAGCATATGATGTGACATTAAACCTCAAAAATCATTGCTGTCTACAATCCGAAAGAAATCTCAGAGTTAAGAAGGGCAGAAGGTAGGCTGACTGTAAGGAAGAAAGGAAGGGTGGGTCGAAGAGAAAAGAAGGGAGTGAAGGGAGGAAAAGTTTGCTAGACAGAAGTTAGGTGTTAAAGGATGATGTAGCCACTAATTATTCTGTAGTTTCTTTGAACACACATACGAACTAGCATAGTTGCACATTTGTGCATGGCACTTATTACTGCTCTAACAAATAAATAAATAAAGATACAAATTCATTACTTAACCGCTTCCCATCCACCCTATAGCAGAAATACTGCTACAGGTTGGTGTTTCTGCAGTGATAGCGGGCACACGCATGCACCCACTGACCCGCGCGGGTGCCGTGATTCAGTGCCCAATGGATCAAGCATCTGATTTAGGCCAGTGATGTTCAGGTGTACCCGACCCCTTTCCCAAGTTGCTGAGATGTTACAATCGCATGATGATTCTCATGCAGCAGAGTGCCAGTACTAGTGCCACTCTACCTTTTGGTGAACTGGCAAGCACCAGCGGCCTAGGACATCCTGGTCTTGTACATGCCAGCACTGCAGTATCACTTGGTGACATGGCGAGTCCCATAAGTGCAGTACAAGCTGGTGCGGCGACGAGCACAAGTAGTGTCCCGCAGCCACCATATAGCACATAGTGTCCTTACAGATGTGCTTGCATATCCCGATTGGCAGCCCGCAAATTCTGCAGCACCAGTACTTCCCCCATTCACTGCCCAACCCGGAATTCAGGTGGAAACAGCAAATTTAACTACTCCCCTTCAATGCAATTTATATTCACAACAGTTTACCGCCACAAACCCAAATTCAAACCTTGCCAAATCATTTAAATAAAAACCTATTACGGTTTTCGAAATTAAAGTTTTTTTTAGACCTAACCCTCAACATGGGCATTACTAAAAAAAATGAATTGCATTTGTATTGGTCTACAGACCCGATTCATCATATGCACATGTTCTCTGGTGCCATGGCCAGGCATAGATATGAGAATATAATGCGTTTTATACATTTCAACAACAATACACTCTGTCATCCTCGGGGTGACCCTGAATTTGACCAGCTCCACAAAATTCGGCCCCTCGTAAATCACCTTAATCGAAAAACAATTTGCAGATATCTATACTCCCCAGTAAAACATTTGTGTTGATGAGTCCCTCATTAGTTTTTCTGGCCGCCTTGCATTCAAACAATTTCTCCCCAGCAAGCGTGCCAGATCTGGGGTCAAGATGTATAGGACCTGTGAGAGGGCAACAGGCTATGCATATAAGTTTCAGATTTACAAGGGAAAAGATAGTCACATGGAGCCCCCTGGATGCCCAGACTAAATGGGGGAGCAGTGGAAAGAGAGTTTGCGACTTGGTGTCACCCTTTTTCAAAATGGGGTACCACTTATACGTGGACAATTTTTTTTCTAGCATGTCACTATTTAGACATTTGTACAATCTTAGAATTGGCGCATGTGGCACCGTGCAACCTAATCGCCAGGGCTTCCCCCAACAGCTTGTAAATACCCATCTTAGAAAGGGGGAAAAAGCCTGCTTGAGAAATGAGGAATTGCTCACAGTGAACTGGAAGGACAAACGGGATGTTTTCGTCCTGTCTTCCATTCAGGCAGACACAACCATCCAAATTTCCAGGGCAGCTGGTGTTGCTGAGAAGCCCCTCTGTGTCCACGACTATAAACTTAACATGGGAGGGGTGGACTTCAATGACAAGATGATGAAGCCATACTTAGTTTCCGTAAAGCCAGATGCTGGTACAAAAAAAGTGTCTGTTATTTATTTCAATTGTCTCTATTTAACGCTTTTGTGCTTTACAAAGCAACTGGACATAGTGGATCCTTCCTAAAATGCCAGGAAGAGATCATCACGGCCCTTTTGTATCCAGAAGGTGCTGAATGAGAGGCATTTTCCTGATGCCATTCCTGGTACCCCAACCCAAAGGACACCCCAAAAAAGATGTGTCTGTAGCAAACACGGAATTAGGCATGACATCCTCTTTTTTTGTCCCTCCTGTCCTGGCCAACCTGGTATCTGCCTCAAGGACTGCATCCATCTCTACCACACACTAGTGGAGTATTAGTATAGAGTACAGCACGGCACAGTTCAGGGCACATATTTGCACAGGGTCTCTATAGATGTTAGGTAGTCAGAAAACTGGCTATCACATTTTGAGAGACCCTACAATCTGGTTAAAGTTAAAAAAACCTCATAAAAAGTAAACGTACAAAAAATGTTTAAAATTTAAAAAAAACAAAAGTAATTGTAGTTTTTTTTTATTGTTTGTCGAGTTACTGTTATAGTTTTACTGTTTTATTGTTAACTATTTCTGTTTTCTTTGCAGGAATGCCATTTAGCTGCAGCACCAATCTATTTATTCTGACAGTAACAGGGTCTTGTTCTCAGAATATACATAAGTAAGTGTGTGCAGCACTGTTGGGTGAGATTTTTCATCCACAGCTAAAAAAAGAGCATATATGCCAAAGCATGGGGGCCTAAGGTGGCCAGTGGGTGGATGTCCCCTATGCTTTGGTATATATTTAAAAAAATGTAAATAGAAGAATCTGTTTTTTTTTTCGTTCAGCCCATTGTCTATTCAGCTGGGCTGGTATATTCTAATGATGGGCCTACTTTTTCTGGCAGAGATTTCTTCTCCTTTTTTCATTCAGCTCACAGACTGCATAAAAAAAAAGAACATAGCATATATACCCAACAAGGACCAGCGATGTACTGGTACAATACTGGACTTTGAGTGGTTATTCCAGGATGCAGGCATCATCCTGGTATCGTTTTTTTCAGCCAGCGATCAGCTTTCATGTAAAAGCAATCCTAGTGACTAATTAACTGCAGGATTGCTTTTACAAGCAGTGGGAGAAGATGCCCCCTCCCCCGCTGCCTTCCACGGCCTTCTCAGGCAGTCCCGTGCCATCGGGGGAACCTGAGAATGCAGCCAGTGTTTCTGCCAGCTGACCATAGAGCTGATTGGAGACCAAAATGGTGCCAATCATCTATAGTCTAAGAAATCAGAAGCTACGAGCATTTAATCATTTCATTTTCGTAGGATATAAACAGCACCTTTTGATAATTGGGAAAGCATCTGATCACACCTAACTTGGTGAGATTAGATGATGTAAGGGCAGAGGAGATATCTAGAGTCTAATAGACCCCAGGTTTCTCAAATAAGAATAACTGTCAATGCCTATTGTAGTCACAGGGGATATATTCACAGTCCCTGTGATAGCAATAAAAGTGCTGAAAAAAAAACGAAAGGGACAATGTAAAAAATAATAATAAAAAAAAGCAAAATAGATAAAAAAAATAGCACCCTCACCCCCCCCCCCCCAATGCGCGTGCGGCCCTGCATGTACGAGCGTTGACCCCATGCCGGTATGTAAATAGTGGTTGCACCATGCATGTGAGGTATCACAGCAAACGTCAGCTCAAGGACTGTATTTCTAGCACTAGACCTCTGTAAATCTAAAATGGTAGCTTGTAAAGGCTTTTAAAGTGTCGCCTGTGGACAATAAAAATGTATGCTGTTTGTCGCCATTGCACGGAGCATGTGCAGTATTAAAGCATGTCATGTTTGGTATCTATTTACTTGGCATACCATCATATTTTATACTTTACCAAATAATTGTCCAATATATTGTGTTTTTGCATTAATAGTAAAAAAAAGTGTATTTTTTGCAAAAAATTAGCGTTTGAAAAATCACTGCACGAGTACTGTGTGACATAAAAAATTGCAGTACCCACCATTTTATTCAGTAGGGTATCTGCTTTAAAATATATATAATGTTTTGGGGTTCAAAGTAATTTCTTAGCAAAAAATACAGATTTCTTTTTCATGTAAACAAAAAGTGTCAGAAATGGCTTGTTGGTTGGAATGGCTGGTTAGAAGAGTGAGTGATGTGTCGCATAAACTTCTAATGCTGGACATAAAATGCACCCTCCAATGAGCCCCTTTTTGGAAAGTAGATACCCCAAATTATTTGCTGAAAGGCATGTAGAGTCAATAGAAGAATTTTTTTTTACCACACATTTTTGTAAAATGACAAAACATTTTTTTTTTTTTAAACAAAATTGTCACTTAAATTATTTATTACTCACACATGCCAAAATACATTCTTCTACTTCTCCCAAGTATGAGGATACCACATGTGAGAGACTTTTAGGCAGTCTAGCCAAGTGCAAGACCCCAATATCCAATAAGC